GGGAAAGTAATTTGAATGGCAGCCGGTGGCGAGATTTAATCGCGTTCAAAGGGAACTTTAGATGTGTCTATTACGTGTCAGGCTATCGCAATAATATAATTTCTCGAGGGACACTTTTCAAATGTCGACAGAAAAAAAACTGACCTTGTCAGCCACCACATAATGAGTGGCTGTGACACAAGAATGAAGAGAATGAGAATAAGCTTCCGCTTTCGGCCATCTTCACCGCCAAAGTGATGAGAATGAAATACAAAATTCTTCACTGTGCGGAGCTGAAACTGGGTATTTAGAACATTCAAAAATGATCACTAGAGAGGTTATTGTGCACTCGTTCTCAGTCTGCTCACGTTACAAAGAAGCACATACTTTATAGGTGTTCTAATAAAACTTTCAATGTTAAGACTAAAACGCAAAAGTCTGGTCGAATCAATTATCAGCACCACAGCGAAGGCCTTTCTACCCAACGTTTCACGACGCGCCCGTACTTCAATGAATTTCCCGTTTTCTGTATGTTTACATTGTGCTGCCATCAAATTTCACTCAATCTGTCCCCTAACAATTGCTAAGTTAAACAAAAACGAAAATTCAGTACGGCACATTAGTCTTACAGTAATAACGTGCCTTGCCTGAAGTCCCTTTTCGGTACGTCGTATACGTGACGTTGGAGATTTGCGTATTCAAATAGGGTTACGCCGTAAGAGAATATGTCTTGTTTGGGGGATTTGGCATTCACTGTATTTAACAAAATAGTAAATTTTTGTATGACAACGTGCCGTACTAAATTTTCGTTTTTGTCAGTTGTTGGTGCTGGTTTGCTGAAATTCCAGGAACAAAAAATATTTTCATCACCTACAAACTGAACACGAGATCAATTGTAAGAGCATGTGCACGTATAGAAGACCAGTGTGTACGTGTCCATTTCAGCTCTTCGCTATCCTGTTCACACCTGCCTACCGCTGACAGCTTTGATCACCAGTGAGAAAATAGCATGCTTCAATGCAAAGGCGATTCAAAAGCATACCAAGAAAAAAACAAGAGCCAGGGAGGTGTAAGCCAGTGCGCAGTAGTAAAAAGTCCTTCCACCAGCCATAAACATTAGCAGACAGATGATCATCCTAAAATGTGAACCTATGAAATAAGCATTTTGAATGTATTCCTCGTTGTGAATGATATTCCGGATAACAAGAATTGCAATTCAGGTCGCAAAGACGTGCATAAAAGAACTGCTAACTCTAACACTAACTGCAGCTATAACTCTTGCTGGCTGCCTGATGTTTTCATTTTCGAAATAATACGAAGAAAGTTCTTCCGATAACCTATGAATCTTCATAAACAACACTGTACTCAAGAATTGCAGTGCATATCGAGAAATGCTATTCATGCAGCCCGATACGAAGATTATGAACTCATGTTGAGTCTTCTTTCGAGCCAGTAATTTGGAAAATCAGTACACTCCGTAGTGTAGCTTCAAAAGATCCCCTTCCCCGAAAAAAAATTTGACACTTACTACTGTAGAAAACATGAAAACTCAAAAAAGCATTGGGAATATTGACAACGGACAACTATAGGGCAATTATAATCTCGCACATTCAGCAAATATACCCAAGTAAGCAAAACGAAAAGAAATTTCTTGTGCAAGCCTACCCAAAGAACTTGTAAGTACTATACGCCAATGAGTGCCAGACTGACAAGCTCTGAAACAAACATTAGGTCAACCACTCGTATAGTGAAAATAGTCAAGCAGACAAATTTGAATTAATTTAAGCTTACCTGCGATATATTCATTACATACTTGCTCACAAAAATGATTATGTTCTCGATAATCACCCATATAAAAGCATTACTTGTCAGAATTCCTAACATTTCAGGAGAAAAACTGAAAAGAAGGAACAATTAATCGTTAAAAACCAGCTTTTCTGATCTCAGAGTTAGGATGGAAATGTGCTTTCAAAAATTGTGGGAACGCCACGGTAACATAAATATAAAGATCGCAAATTCCCATTCTTTGAGGAAAATTTTAGCGATGATTCGGAAGTCTTACCGTCCTTGTGTTCCCAGAACGAATCCAGAAACTATTATATATGTTATGAAAGCCATCAAGGGAATGTAGAGATCTGGAGCGTTGACATCATCTTTAGCTGGCACGGGATCATCCGACCCAGCATATTTCAAAGACCAATCCTAAAAAGCCAAATCAGTTGAAATAAAACGCAAAGAAAGGAGCTCTGATAACTTACGCGATGGAAGAAAGGAAATAGTAGGATCCCAAGCTTCTTGCCAACGTAAGAGTTATCGACAGAAAAATAGTACTTGAGATTGAACGTATTCAGGTATTTGGATATCTGAAATGTCCTTCATCAAAATTGGATGATTCGAGGAAATATTCGAGAACATTCTATACGCCCAATGAACATAACACATCTCCACCAAAAAGACACCCCAGATTCATGTCATATAAAAAAGGATTAAAAAAGGTAAGCATCTACATTAATGTTCTACCAAGGCCTAATTCTATGAACAGCCACTGACTATTACAAAACAGGAAGTGATTTCGTGTGATGTGAAAAATCCAAGATCGATTTCACGGGCAAACAGGTATAGGTGCATGAGCAAGGGCAACTTAGGGGAGCAGGATCAAAAATGGGCTCAGAAGCAGTAATCTCAACTTGAATCAGTCGATTAGTTACCATTCTTATTGATGTGTATATGGGTGACCAAGGTGCAGAACGTTCAGATTGATATCAGCTGAAAGTGATGGGGTAGCAAATTTTTTGGAGGTTTGATTCAGGGGGACTTGCTTCACCAGTGAAAGAAAAATAGAATAGTTAGTGACCCAATGCATCGAGCAAGCCAGGGTTGCAGATGAAAGAATTATACAGTGACATCAACTATCATTCGAAAAGGGCAGAAATTACTGGTTTTGAGCGGCTTATGAAGCGTGCTAGTGAGCGAATATAGTGGCATGATCTAAAACTTAACAAAAAAAATAGGGATTGGTAGAACGTTCTACTTTTCGTGAACGCGAAAAAAAGAGCAGCCGATAGTGGTGTAGGACTAACAGCACAACATAACGCACTTCGTTCGCCATTCTGTACTCACGGAAGATCAAACACCTCAACAAGCATTATTGAGTTTCATGAAATGTTTTAGATTGCGTAAAGCTTCAACATAATGATTTACAGCTGGCGGCATTTCAGCTTCCACGAAATTTTCGCTTTGCCTCATTTTATTCGTTACGGATGGGCACGCAATGATTATGCTGAGAACAAGCACTGTTTGAAACATTTAGACGTTCTACAAAGAGCTTCAATGAATATAGGAAAAAATGGGTTTCATGGTAAAGACGTACTTGGTTCCCTGTGAATTTTATAGACAGATGTTGACCTTGCCAGAAATTGAACGTTCAGCTGTGGCAAGTTGGCCTACCTTTTCTTTCTGTTGTTCAGCAAACTGTCCGCCAAAATGTTGAGCAGCCTTCATCATCGGATCCGACATAAAGTCTTGAGGAGAACTCGGAAATCCATAACCTAAGATTGATGAGGGTTCGATAAATCAGAGAGAAAGGGCTAACAAAGCTCTCAAGAGCACTGATGCAATTTTCGAAATGTGTTCTCGCAAGCAACCTCAACTTTCAATATCTGAATTTCTAAGGAAAACAAGCAGCTTCACAGACATACCCATGTTAGAGGATTGTTGCTGCCCATAGTAGTCGGGATAAGCCTGTGGCGAAGACATCGGTCGGCTATGACTTTGTTGAGGGTAGCCGGAAGAAGGCTCCGGGTAGCCACTGAAGGTATTTCACCGAACTTACAACCAAACCTTCATCCCAACTACACATGAATGGTGTTTCGTATCATTTGAAGGTATCTAAGCTGATAAGGGACTAGCCCTCTCATATCAACCTTGAAAAAAAAAACACTATCTCTCAACCCATACAGCAACCATTAGACTTACCCATATGACTGGAATTGAGGATGTTGCTGCGGTTGGTAACTATGTCGTTGTGTTGCTTGAGAAGTATCGCCCCAATCGTTGTCCCATTCGTTAGACATTCTGAAACTAAAACAGCATCATTCGTATTATCAGTTGCAATCTGAGAGCGAATTCGTAAACAGAAAAAGAATAAAGCATTCTCGTGGAGTGGGTAAAAATGTGTAATGCACCACTCACGGAAGACTCACGGAAGCAATCAATTCAACTGTTCTCGCTACTCGCTTGTGGGTAACGAAATTTTGTGTTCGGAAGCAGCCATGATATTAGAATAACCGCGTAAAATAATTGAAGCTGCAGTCGGAAGTGAGGTACAATCGTGTTCGTTGGTTAGCATTTTGCCGGTGTGTGCGTGTGTTCTTCACGCTCGTAGTACTAAATGTGAAGTTCCGATACCCTAGCAGGTTATGAAGTGAAGTGGGCAGGGAACGTGAAGCGCAGGTGACTAAAGGTGACATTTCCTCATACAGATGACAAATGGTCTTGGAGAGTGATAATCACTGATCCATAACCTTTCTTTGAAGGAGTCTTAGTATGTGATGTGGAGTATGGCAGGATCGTAGATGGTTAGTAAAGGGAAGTTACCGCGATTGATAAGAGGTTTGTGGTTGAGCGACTACGGCTACTGGTTCCTTACGCCTTTCACATTACCAGCACTTTGTTAGGCAACGGGAGGAGTTACGGATTTTACTTAGCGTACGGTACTTGAGTATGACATATGGCGATACGTAGATGATTGATGAAAAAATGGTAACAAAGGAGCTGATAAGAGACTTCCTTAGGCAAGGGATCTTGAGTTGCTTACGCTTTTTATTTTCAAAGTGGAGTCTCGGCTATTCGATGAGGAGGGTTATGTGAAAGTGACGGCTTCTAGATTCGATTACGGGAAGTAACAGCTGCAGTGAAACAATAACGGCCAATAGCGTAGGAAGACAACGAGTTTAACTTTGTTCCCTGCAATTTTGATAGGACCACGAGCATTGAACACGCAAAGCCTAATTACGCTATAGGTGCAAATCTAGTTAGGGAGTGGGAGGTGGAGAAGCTCTAAAACTAAGCCCTAGAGCACGCTGAAGGAATTTCCGGCTTTGTGGGCCCGTAATAGTGCTCAAACACTGCTCAACCATGGAAAAATGTTGTTCACAGGATCGTCAGAAGGGGAGGAACACAGGGTGGGTGGGTATTCACGTAGGTCAACAGGACAGTAACATGTCACCATTTACACTTTTGAGTAGAAATAGTTAACTGAATATTCTACTATAGCAAGGTGACAACTCGAGCATACCCCTCACACCAAAAGGATGAACATTCAAGACATCGGTCATCTGTTTATGAAGAATTAAATTGTTAATCAAATACATTGTGCAACAAAATGGGAAGAAATCACAAAAAACACACCGCCATCAACAAATACGAACAGAGTGGCAAATGCTTCCTAACTACGTCGCCAATGTAAGCTCACCTATTGAATATCTGAAGGGCGCCCGATAGCTAGGAAATACTTAAAATATTCAGATGCAGTTAGAGAAAACCGATCTTGAATATAAAACGTCACGAACGTAGTGAATTTCCCAAAGAAGCTTGAGATTATTACGCTTTGTGCTAAGTTGGATGCAATTTATTTCCACTCACGGTAGAAGTCTGCCATTGCGTACAGACAGCAACTACCGTTGTTTTGTTTACAACTGTTTTTACACAACTGTTTTTACTGGGGGACGAAACTTACGTGCGTCCGAGGATGCGCGCGGCAAATTGCGCGGCGAAGTGCGTGGTGATTCGAACGACTCTGGCGCCTAGCATTGGGGCCCAAACTCGAAGTAGAGTAGTTTAGTAGGGTCAGCTGATACTACCGATCTACTCTACTTCAAATTTGGGCCCCAATGATAGGCGCCAGAGTCGTTCGAATCATCACGCACTTCGCCGCGCAGTTTGCCGCGCGCATCCTCGGACGCACGTAAGTTTCGTCCCCGTTTTTATTCGATTTTGGAGCGGGTCTGAGCGCTTTTCGAGGTCAATGACGTGGTTGAAAACGCAACAAGACGGATTTAATCGTCCCGTGAATGTGTGACACAGTAACCCAAACACACGCTGAAGCGCCTCCAAAACACCGGTCGCATATACGACGCAAAGGAAAGGTACCGGGAGTGGGTGGTGGGGCGCCAGGGGGTTACGGTGTCACACACTCACGGGACGACAAAATCCCTCTAATGAAAACGCATCGTGGCCAGGCGCGCATTGACAAACCTGGACAACGTCTGTTTACAACGTTGGTCGCTCAGCAGAGGTCTGTTTATTTATTTATTTGACGACGTCCGCGCCGGTGCTGACGGATTTATCCACTGGTTAAGAAATAATATACTCCAGCGCAAAGGCCGTGAGAGAGTGCTTTCAGAATCTACCCACGTGCATTGTTTCCATCGACCGACCGAGTGACGGTGTTCGCAGCCACGGGCCACGTATTGGCAACTCTGAATACCGTTGGACCACCTCACAACTTACGCGCCCTTGAACACGGGTATGGCCGCTTTCAGACTTCGACGACCGACTGTCCGTCCGTCCGTCCGTCTGTCCGACGCACGCGTGCTGCGACGACGGCCGCTAGATTAGGGTTGACAGCGCTGGCACGTGACCTAGTGTTGTCAACAACGGTCAGGCGCCGCCGTCGCAGCACGCACGCATCGGACGGACGGACGGACGGTCGGATGAATCTCTCAGGTCTGAAAGCAGCCTATGGGTTCATTCACCCAGTTCTAGATGGACGTGGCAAATCGAGCTCCAAATTCGTGGTGATTCACACGAGTCTGTCGCCTATCATTGAGGCGCAGATTTCAAGTAGACTGGATTAGAAGGGCCAGCTGATGCTACTTGTCTACCCTACTTAAGGGCACAGTTCACGATAACTTTGGGTAATCCACATTATGACGAAAAATGGAAAATAAGATGGAAAATAGTGGAGGCGAAGGAACTGCATGAATCGGTTCTTCCAAGTGAAAGAAGGCTCCGAAAAAACGTTAGAAAGGGAACTGGACGAGAATGAGACCAGAAGAATGAAGAAGAGTGTGTCGAGTCATGGGCCAGCTATGGTGAGTCATGCGTCAGCTCGAGACAGACACCAAGGTTTCATCAGCTCCG